ACCGATCTTCGCTGGGCCAGTCACGCACGTGGGAGTGAGACATGACCCGCCCCCACCCAACCCCAACATAAGCACGACCCTAATATGCGGCTTGCGGTGTAAGGTCGGCAATTCCAGTAGGAGGTGCGCCTTCGTCTAAACCATTAGGAGCCAGAGCCCTCCGGGCGTTCCGTAAGCGGTGAGTGAACAGCGGGAACAAGGGTGACATTTTCACACCCACACACACGGCTCTCCGTTTCAGGGCAAGCGTCCACAAAGGAGGGTCATTCGTCGCTACGACAAGACTAGATCGGGGTAATATGTTGGTGATAATTCTATGAAACGGGGGGGTGTAAAAATAGGGGTAGATGGTGGCCTACCACCCTTTCAGATGGTAGTCGTCGATGTCGTCAAAGTCGCCCGCCGGGACCACGCTGGTGGTGATCACCCGCCGCGGCCGGGGCACTTTACCCAAATGGTAGTCGATTTTGATCAGCTCCTTCAACAGCTCGGAGAGCTCAGTAGAAAGCATCACTTTACGGGTGGTTTCGGGCAGCATCGGCATCAGGAACATCGCTGGCGTCGCCGACACGAGGAGCAGCGGCGGCGCTTCAGGCACCACCACCAGCGGCGCCGGCACCGCCAGGATCGCGCTCAGACAAGAGTGCGGCAGCACAAGCTTCGGCAGCACCATCAGTGCTGCTGCCGGAGGTGGCACCGCCATCATCGGCAGCGTCCCGGCGAGCTCGGTCGTCAGCGCCAGCGGCGCCGGCGCTTCGTCCAGGCGGATCAGCGAGTCCAGCTTGTGAAACTTGGCCCGAGACGACTTGTAGATTTTTGTCAAGTTGATTGACAGCTTGGAAATTAAGTTTTTGAACAGCAGGTTCAGCATCAGCACCAGCGAGTACTTGGTGAGACTCAGCAGCAAGTTGCACAGCGCCGCCGTGTCAAAGTGGATCTCGCAGTCGCCGCAGCCCAGCGTCAGTGGCAGCCGCGTCAGTGCCGACACCAGGTGGTTCTTCACGGTGACGTTAAAGTCGCTGATGCCAACAATCAGCCGTTGCTTGCCCAAAGGCGGTCCCGGCTCGTTACTGGTGAACTCCGTCAGCGGCGCCGACATCTCGTCGACGAGATCCGTGTACGAGCTTGGCTTGTGGGCGAAGATGATCAGCAGCCGGGTGGTGGCGCGGTCCCGGCACCGCTCGATGGTGATAATGCCAGTGGTCAGCGACCGCTTGAGGATGGGCTTAGGGCCAGCGCCAGAGTCAATTGCACAGCGGTCGCCGCGGTTTTCGTTATTAAAAAGCCCGGAGAGAAGCAGGCGGGGCGCCTGCGGCGCCTGAGGCGCCGCCGGAGGGCGGCACCGTCCGCCTAGCTGAAGACAGCCCGGTTCGACGCCGGTGTCTTGCAGAGATATCAGCACCCACTCGTCGTCGGTGTGGGCGTCGGTGCCCGGGGCGCGAGGGTCGTCTTCGTCGAGTTCGTCGTCGTCATCCTCCAGGATGTCCGTCGACGTATAACCCTCGTCGTCATTGGCGGCGAGCGCCTCGGCCGAGCGCTCGGTGCCCAGAAAGAGCGAATCGTGGCGATTGGTCTGGGTAGCTTCCAGCGACAGCGACCCCAGGCGGGAGTCATTGTCGACCAGTTGATCCGCCGGTTTTGGTGGCAGTGGCAGGTTAGCAAAAAAGAACTTCGACGGGCCGTGGTTGGCGCCAGCGCCAAATAGCGAGTCAGTTGGTTTCCGCGAGCTTCGCTGGGCGGAGGCGGTGGTGGTGGGGGGCGGGTTGGTCGTCGTGGGATTACCCCAGCGCTGGTGGGGCGCCGGTAGCGACGGCTGGTGTGATTCGAGTCGGACCGGTTCCATGGTAGCCTCAGGTCCTTTCCTTCCTCGACTGGGGGTGTGTTATTAGGGATTGCCTGGCACCAAAGGCTTGTGGTTATTGGTGACGATCCCGCTGGGTATATGGGGTGAAAAATGAGTGACGATGTCGTCGCCCCGTCTATATGAAGGACCCTGCGCTGCTGCGTGCGTGTGAGGGCGCTACACGATGCCTGGCATAATCTCCTCATTCCACAAATTCTCGCACGCCAATCTAGCACGGGTTAATG